ATCAGTGTCAAGAATCAATCTATAAGTCCCAATTCCCTCTATTCGTGCCTTCATTCTATTTCCCATATATAGGAACTTTTCAGTTTCGCTTATGGGTTGGATCGAAAGGAATCCCTGTATAACATGAGACACATGAGTAGTTGCACCAGAATCTAACCACCACGTATTATTAGGCACTTCAATAAGATTTGATTCAAAACATATTGAAACATAAGGTATACATTTCTTTTCGAACCAAATCTTTCTTTTAGGACAATCCTTTTTCAAGTGACCATTCTTTCTACAGAAGTAGCACTTCAACTCTTTACAGAGTTGGCCCTTATTGACCTTCAATGGGGCTTTGTCCCTTTTCTTGTCCTTCTTCCCTGATTTGTTGTTGCTGCTACTAGCTCCATTATGAAATGTGAGATTGACAAAGTGTTCCTCCAATTTCTTTAATCTCCCTTCCTCTTGAATCAACATGGCCTTGATTTCCTGAATGTTCCATTTTTCCTTAAAGGTGTTGTAATTCACCTGGAACTGTTTTTCCTTAAGGTGTTTCAGATTTTTAGAAAATTCATTATTACAATTTTTAAGATCTTTAATTTCTATGATAGAACTAAAAAGGATTCATTCACATCCATTCCCATCAACTTCAATTTGGTTGCCAAATTCTGCATGCCAGTCACATCATCATATATGTATTGTGACCAATCAAACTTCTTGGTCGTTAGCTCACTCATTAAGGATCCTATGATGGACTTGTCGGCTATGTCCGATTGGGAGTATTCCTTAATTTTCAACATGTACTCTCTAGCACTCTCTAGCATTGTCTATTTTGGGCATTGATGGCTTAACATTTTCAGCCATTGTCATCCTCATTAAGTTCAAGCTTAACCTATTAGACTACTCCAAGCCTCATAACGGGACTTGTCAGCTACAGTACTGGTCTCTGTAATGGTTGCTGGCTTTTCAGAGATTAATGCCAAATCCAAGTCCAAAACTCATAACTGATAATGGATTTGTTCGGACCAATCAGCATAGTTCAATCCATTGAACTTAATCAGCCCAGTGCCTATAGCAAACATGTTAGAAGAAACTGCAACATTATACATACATTACTTTCATACTTAAACTCATACGTTAATACTTTGAGAAAACATATATGGATTCAAACAAATAACAATCTTAAATTATGCAATTAAATTCACCTTTGGGTAATACTTAAATACATAGCTTTAACTAATAATGATGCCAAGAAGAAAATGCTTTAATAGACTTTCATTGATGCGGAACAACTTGCGAATCTTTATGCAAGTCAATAGCAGTGATATGCCCATGCTTCACTACAGCACACTCGTGCTTCTCTCTGGAACTCAGGGCACGCCCGTGCTACTCTCTGAAGCTCAAGAAATGCCTATGTTCATTACAATACGACCCATGCTGCTCTCTGGAGACCACAGCGCGCCCGTGCTCCTTTTTGGAATCTAGTTACATCTTTTTTTTTTACTCCTTAATTATTCAATAATGCTCCATACAATATGCATGTTATCTTTGGCTATACATTCATATTTACTACGTACAATGATAAGTCTCTTTAATGCCATTGATTATAAGTAAGTGTCTAGACTAATCCAAACAAGGTCACTTTGGTGACTAACAAATTTTCCATTTATTAAACATTGATTTATGCAAAATTTTATGAGATTGAATTAAGATCTCAAAACTTTAATGACATTATACAATAAGATGTCATAACCTTCCTTTCTTTATAAATAACACAGCAGAATAATTTATAAAGCATAAAGAAAACAACCAGTTTTCAATTTATATAGTTTTGACTTCGTTCATACCAGATTAATCAACTTCACAATTCAAAATTAATTTTCATTAATTAAGCCAAATAAAAGACTGTCAAACAAATCTAGAACAGGAACAGGCTCTGATACCACAATGTTAAATAAACTTTAATATAGGGTAGATCTTATTGTTCGTAGAATTTGTTTAATAAGAATACGCAACAAGCGAATATTGATTACATCATTGCGGCTATTTGATTCTCACTGTAACAGTAGATCTATGTTTCTTCACTTTGGTTTTTTATCCGTAAGTTCTCTCTTAATGGTCAGAGAATTATCAATAGCAATGGGAGTTTTCTTTTCACTTGTTCCACGTTCTCTCAACAAAACCTATCCCGCTATGGTGTTCTGAGGTAGCCGTCACACTCTTTAACCTATGCTGTTGATTTTCTTATCTATTTTTATAAGGCAGAGGAAGGGTAAGCAATGGGAGTTTTCTTTTCACGTTCTCTCAAACAACCTATCACCGCTATGTGTTTGAGGTAGCCGTCACACTCTCTTAACCTATGCTGTTGATTTTCTTGATCTATTTTATAAGGCAGAGGAAGGGTATTAAAATCATAACTGGTCCTCATTCCATTAAGCTCAATAACCATCATTTTGGGCCACTTTAATTAGAACCAGCTCTTTAATTACATGGGCCACATAGATTATTAAAATAATCTAATAATTAATTCACAAATCAAGCTGTCAGTCAATAGATTGTTGCTCTTTTCTAAAAAAAGAACCAACACTAGGAAGAAGAAATTGGGAAAGACATTGTGAAATTCAAACCCCATAAAAAAAACCCACAATTGAAGAAACAACGCGTTGAGTATGAAGGAGAATCGTTACATGCTAAAATCGACCCACAAGAAACACCGGAGACTATTATGAAGAAGAAAATTGGGTACAAACACAAATCTGTGTCGCCTCCAAAAAATCCACCACATAAGAAGTGAAAATAAATTATTGAAGAAGTCAAATCAAGAAAAGATGATGAAACACACTTTATGTCTGAAACGGAGAATAAGGAGAGCAATGAGCATTACATCGAAGGAGGTGATTTTTGATACCCAACTAAGAAAGATTATTGTGATTAAGTTATAATGCATGAGAAAATATTGATTGAGTATAAGATTGAACTTATTGAACTTAAAAGTATTGACTTTGACTTAGAAAAAGATATTTTGATATTAGGATAAAACACTATATGCAAATAGACAATGAAGTTTAGGCTTGATTGTACTAGAATGTGCTTTGATATTATCTTTTTTTGTATATGTGCATATATAATAGTGAATGGCCTAGTTCATGAGATTGAGAACAACTGGTGATTCTTCTTCTCAAAGGGATTTATTTTATCCTTTCAAGAGAGATTTCAACTTGTTTCTTGCCTCAGTTTCAAGGACGTTTCACTCCAATAGTATCTTCTAACTCATTCTTAGTGTTGCGCCAAATTCTATAGATTAATTTCATAGAAATAGAAATGTGTCAGCAACTTATTGAATACTGCGTGCATTTTCACACCCGTTTTCATGTCAATAAGTAATGTTTTATAGACGCAATTTTTACTTCGTAAGAAATGTTTTTTCGTCTATTTCCTCTTCTTGTCGTTTGTAGAACATTTTTCAATGGTTATACAATTGGATTGTTTGCAAAATCATGTTTTTCCTTGGTGGAAATAGAGTTAAGATCCATGGACAAATTTCTGAATTTCTTCAATTGCAAGCAAGTTTGCTGGGACTAAGTCAAGATGAAGTTGATTTGATAGGTTCATATTGAATTTTTGGATGAATTCATTTTAGTTGTGAGCTATTATCCATTTACATGAGGCTAGTTTGTGAAATTTGAATAGTTTTATTCTTCTAAAAATAAAAAATTTGGCTCCAAATGTATAAAAATTGCGCGATATTTTCATTTGCACTTCATATTAGTTTTGAAGCAAAATTTAGTCGTTTTGAAATTTTCAATTTTTTACTGTCAAATCTATTTTTAGTTAGTGGTTGTGAAATATTAAAAACACCCTTAAGGATAATTACTGTATAAGGGCTACAGTGTAACATTATGAAAATTGAAATCCTTATTAATATATTTCACTAACCATAAGGATTACATAGTAATTATCTTTAGAGTTACTTTTTACATTTCACGAGCATTTAGTGGAAAAACTAAATGTTGAACCATATAGTGTAACAAAATTATAATGCAAAGGCTAAATAGTATAACCTTGAACTGAAATTCTTACCGGTGTATTTGAGCAAAATCTAGAGACTGCATATTAATTACCCTTTTTAAAATGAATCAAATTAAATTGGATTGAACAAAAAGTGAATCGAATTGGATTGAATTTTTAAAATAATTTAGTTTTGATTTTCAAAATTTCAATATAATTTCAGCAAATTTTTCTTAGGACTAAACCGGACTAGTGTGCACAACTCTATTAAATTTACTACAATTTATAAATAAAAATTAGCAAAAATAATATTTACAAATTCTAAATTATTGACTATAATTTTTTTAATACATAGAAAACCTAATACATTAATATGTTAAATGACATTACAAAGTTTGTAATAGCTCTTGTGGTGGAAATAACTTCAATTCGAGAATTTTCACTTCTTATATCTCTTATAGAATATAAAAAAATGAATCAAACTAAAACCCACGTGATCGGTGATTATCAATTACAATTTAAGTAGTTAGAGATTTACAAATTAAAATAGCTAAAAATATTAAAAATTTACAAATCATTTGCTCATAAAAATTATATTTTAAATTATTTTTAAACCATAATCGATAAATTTTAAAAGCATGAAACAAGTCATACACAGATAAAATTATAAAATATGACAGATAAAATTATAAAATTAATATTATTATATTTTATATGAAGAGAAATTTAAATTAAATGGTTTTTAAAAAAATTTATTTTGAATTTCAAAAATTATTCAAACATTTAAAGTAATTAAATTTTTTTTAAAAAAATATTTGATAGCCGAAAAAACAAAGCTTTTTTAAATCTAGCAAAAACAATTTAACATAAATAGTAACTAATAACAATTTATAAAAAGTATTTCATGATATACATGCCTAAAATTTATATGTAATTTGATAAATATAATTCAAGTTTCTTTCTTTTTAGACTTAAAATTGAGTTGACAAAGGTAGCTTAGGGTTTTAACATTTTACTGAGGATTAAGAAATTTGTTTGTTTTGGTAATGAAGAGCCCAACCAACAACACAACGCACTACTTCGAACTCTCCGCTTGGTCTCTGCTTCTTACCTCTTTGTATCTCGTTATTCTCGCCCCTAATTTTGTATGCTGGTTTTATATTCTTCTGATCTTGTATTTCCAAAACTCGTTTCACCCTGTCTCTTCTTCAACAATGGCATGCTCAACTCTTGCTAATTCATTAATTCTTTCTTCTTCTTCTTCTTCTTCTTCTTCTGCTGCTGCTCATAGTTCTCGACCAACTGGTAATGCCTTTGCTCCATCTCGAATTTCATTTCCCAATTCTAGATCTCATTTCGTTTATACCCAGTTGAAGGACAAGAAGAATTTGAGCTATGTCACTACCTATTCCTCTCTTGATGCTGCTGCTGCAAAAGATCCGAAAGAAGAAGAAATTCCTATTGAGCTAAGTATGTAGCATTTGGCTTCTCTATTGCTCCCTTCCCAGTACTCAGACATTTGAATATGTGTTACCAATTTTTTTCACCTTCTATTTGCATTTGCAGAATATCCAGCTTATCCTACTGTCATGGACATTAACCAGATTCGTGAGATTTTGCCTCACCGGTGAGTCCAATTTTTTTGTTTTTTTTTTTTTTTTCAAGAATATGAGAAAGAAAAGCACTTCCCAGACCTGGGGTTTTAGATTGTTTTTTACGTTTTAGATGCGATTTTATATACTGCCTTTTACTCTTTTACTAATTCTTGGGGTCATAATTCATAAGCAGTCCAGTTGTGATGTGGTTTCCGATGGGTTTTCTTTTTTGCTGTTGTTTAGGTTTCCCTTTCTCCTTGTCGATAGAGTGATTGAGTACACTCCAGGAGTTTCAGCTGTTGCTATTAAGAATGTCACTATAAATGACAATTTCTTTCCTGGTCACTTTCCCGAGAGACCAATCATGCCTGGTGTTCTCATGGTTGAGGTATGTTTATTGTTCATTTTTTATCCTGCTGCACTCCTTTTCTTATTATTAAAGTTTGGTATTTGAGTATTGATTTATGTAATTGATTGCACTCTTTGTTTGATTGTTCCATTGTGAATTTAAGAAACTCCTTTTACTGTATCTGATAACCCGTTGCTTTTGGAATTGATTATGTTTTTTCTCTAATTGTGAATCACTGACTCCTGGTTAGTATAAGTATATTATGACCATTGAGCATGAGTACCCGGCTTAATTTATAGGTTTCATATTATGGTCTTTTGAACTTTTAAAAGTTGTTTAATTCTAGTGTTTGTTTCATTCTTTAGAATTTGAGTAATTTCTAGGCATTTTGGTTTCAAATCTGCCTGCTTACTGCATACAATATCTTATACAGCTTGCTAGAGAAATGCTACCTCCTTTTTTTTTGACTGGTTTGGTCAGACAGTTTGCAGACCCCTATCTATGATGAGATTCTAACTTCTCTTCCTACTAAGTTAGTTCTTTGTTTGGATCTAGATTTCAGTGACTAAGAGATGAGTTAAACTTGAACTGACTTGATATCAACAAGCTGACATAAGTTAACTTGCTTTAGCTTAATTGCATTCATGGTCAAGTCATCTTTTCTGTAGTTTCTGTGGCCAAAAATAGTCCTATTGGTATAACATATTGAGTTTTATCAATGTCGGCCAGTTGTCTAATTCTATCATATTTTGAATGACACTTTTGCTAAAGTTACATATAGTTGAAGTTCTACAGTCTGTTCCAATGTTGATAGTTTGTTTGTGGAATGAATCTACTTTTAAAATCATAGAAAAGCAGGCAGTGAAATGTCAGGTAGATAATTCTTGTGGAAAAGCTAATGTTTTTTAATTATTTCTTGTTTTTGTTTCATTTTGGTATTAGTTTATGTTTTATTTAGCATGCAACTGCTGTATAGACAATAGAAACTGGCCTACTGCATGATACCTTCATTTTTAATTATTTCATGTTTTTTTTTTTTCATTTTATATATTTTATTTACCATGAAAACTGCTCTGTACTCGGACGAAAGAAACTATAATGCTCCTTGATGCATTCATTTTCTTCATATTTAATCTTTGTACAAATTCTTGTGCAATAAGTGCATGTGCATGCAATTTGATTTTCCTAATCATGAAGTACCAAAGCAGTTAAATCATGTCTTATAAAAGGATCATGTTGCTCTTAGTAAAAAGTAGCTTCTGGTTGGGATATGTACCATCTTCGTGTTCTTTCTTTAAGCTTCCTAGTGTTTAACCATACACTATCTTGAATGCTATTTTTATTGAACTCATTTTCTATTTTGCATTTCTACTCATGTGTTATTATGGTATCAGCATATGGAAAATGGGTTTTAATCTCTTTGTAAACTCATGGTTTTTGGATCATGTTACTCTTAGTAAAAGGTGGTTGGGATATGTAACATCTTCATGTTCTTTCTTTAAGCTTCCTAGTGTTTAACCATACACTATCTTGAATGCTATTTTTATTGAACTCATTTTCTATTTTGCATTTCTACTCATGTGTTATCATGGTATCAGCATATGGAAAATGGGTTTTAATCTCTTTTTAAACTCATGGTTTTTGTTCAGTATTATTGGGTTGGAAAACATGCAATATTACCTGGCACCATATAGTGAAGTTAAACACCATTTGCATACAAATCATTCATGATTTATTTCCATTGATATTTATCGGTCTTTGATAAATCCAGGCAATGGCACAAGTTGGTGGCTTGGTCATGCTGCAACCAGAAGTTGGAGGCTCTCGTGACAATTTCTTCTTTGCTGGAATTGATAAGGTGAGATTTAGGAAACCAGTAATTGCTGGAGATACCTTGGTTATGAGGATGACACTTATAAAGCTACAGAAACGCTTTGGAATAGCAAAGATGGAAGGAAAGGCTTATGTTGGAGGTGATGTAGTTTGTGAGGGTGAGTTTTTGATGGCTATGGGCAGTGAATAATATACTAGTTTTAGAATTTCTTGCAATAACTTGTTACTGCTATCCTATGCCTTTTTTGTTTTTTTTTGTTATTGTTTTCAAAAAGGGACAAAGGTGAATGTAGAGGACTGGTCTTCCTTCAATTTGATACTCGTGATTCTGATGTTAAACTTATGGGCAAAACTTGCATATTAATCTATTTTCCTTCATTTGTTGGTTGGCGAACATAAATTCACCTCCGAACTTTGAAACTTTAACCTTGTGGCATTCTGAACTTTGAAAATGAAATATCGTGCATTTGAACTTGCAAATTTTGATAACATTGTATACCTTTTCGCATTAATAGCCATAGAAAGATTTTTTGGTTGTTATATGCAAAATATAGATTTGATACGTAGTTAGCAACACTTTTAGAATAATATTTTTCACATTTTTCAATTATTTATTAGGTATTTAATTGATCTAATTTTTCAAGTTGAAGTGTTTAATAAAATAATTATATAACTTAAAGTGTTTAATATGTGTAATTTTATAAGTTGAAGTGTTTAATGGACTAAAGTAAAAGCTGAGGGTGTCACAAAGTTAAAGCAACAAAGTTCTTTAAACAAAGTTCTTTAATCAAAGTAATTTTATAAGTTGAAGTGTTTAATGGACTAAAGTAAAAGCTGAGGGTGTCACAAAGTTAAAGCAACAAAGTTCTTTAAACAAAGTTCTTTAATCAAAGTTCATCAGTAAATTTATGTATCAATCTTTATTTGTTTAGATTAGCCCTATGAAAATTGTTCTGCTTCTTTCACCGTAACGGTGAAACAAAGATGTCTTAAATGCATTCTTCCTTAAACTCATCTAAACCTTTTTAAATGCATTCTTCCTTAAACTCGTATGCATCTAAACCTTTTTAAATGCATTCTTCCTTAAACTCGTATACATCTAAACCTTTTGACAAAGAGAAATTTCCCAACTAAGATCATTCATATGTTAAACAAAAAATAATCATATTTTAGGATACGAACTATTAAAGATTGGAGAATTATGAACTTATCACATTTACTATCCCTAACCAATAATCATATAGACATTTAACAATTGAATGTATTAATGAAACAAATCATAAAGCTTAGTAAATAAATAAGATTTTTGAGATTGATTTTTATTTTAAGATTGAAAGTAGAACCATTGCAAGAGAAAGAGAGATTGAAATTTAGGATCTGTTTAGTTTAGTTGTTTCGATAGCTGATACCTGCTGACAATTATTTATTATTGTATTTTATCATGCATTATATATGTATATATTTACTTTTATTTTTAATGTGTATACTAATTTTCATTTTAGTTTGTTATATAATTAAAAAAGATTATTTAAATTTTTTTATAATAATATTTAATAGTTATTGTTTATTATTTTAATTAATAGTTGTAATATAATTATAATTTTTAATAGTTAAAATTAAAATGTTCCGTCGGTGAATTAGCAACTATTTTACTGTCTGCCAGTAAATTTACTGATAGACAGCCTTATATAGGGAAAATAAATAATTTTTGAAATAAAAGATTTTTGTCCAGCGTTGAAAATATCAGTATTTTTTTTTTTGGTCATTTAATAGTTAAAAAATAAAACTCTATCGGTATTAACAACGCTAGTCAAGAGTTTGAATAAATAGATCGTGCAAAGTAGAATCATGAACTCATATCCCTACTAGCAACCTTTCAATAGGATAAAACAATATAATCTTGTTCTGTTTTGTTTTTATTTTATTTATATGGTTTGACAAAATACGCATATTAAGAATTTAGTAAATAAAAATTATTGTCATTTTTTACTCTTAATTTATTAAGATATTAATAAAATATTTTCATTTAACAAATAATTATAAAGATTATTATGGAAAAAATAATTATTTAAATACATAAATTTAAAAATTTTGCAAATATAAAATTATAAATTTGTTATATAGGTGTTGATGCCGGCCCTTTTGAAAAATTAAACAAATAATGTCAGACGGCGAAGATAAGGAATGCCATGCCAAAAAGGCCACTTGGACCTAAAAGCCACGCATGTAAATATTGTACAAATTGTAAATACTACAGAAATTGTATAGCTGATATATAACGGTAAATATACTAAAATATTCACTTTTTAACGGTAAATATATTAAAATATTCACTTTTTTTTTTAGTGCACCCGTAAACTCCGGTAAATATTGGGTGACATTTTTGTAAATAGCATGAAATTGAAAATATAAAAACAGGATATTGTACTAGCATTTACTCTATCTCTTTCCTCCTTTCTCTCTCTTCTCTCTCCTCTTTCTTTTTCTATCCTCTAATTTCTTCTTCCTCTCACCTAATTTTCCCCCTCCTACGCACAGCCCGTTAAGCTAACCTATCCGATACATGTCAAAAGACGTTCTGATAAATGCAGACCAACGAGCCCAGATCCAATCTTAGATTGAATAACTTTTTTGGTACGTTCGATTATGTTATTTTTGTTTGTAAATTATATATTTTAAGTGGGCTCTGTGAATTTAATTCCGAGAAAATACAAGTGATAAAAGTGGCTTTCGGGGAATGGCTCCTAATATCGATCACCCAGTCTTGCTAACGAATTGTTGCCCAAATGATTCGATTTTGAGAAAGGGTCAAACTTCAAACCTATAAGTAGGACCCACATTTTTAAAAATATTCATTTCAACACTAATGGGCCCCGACCTTAGAAAATTTATCACGTCCATTTGAACCTTTTACGCTATGGTTTTGGGAGCTTTTTTGTCTTTCACGTCTTTTCTTTTACAACTGGCAGTTTAGGCTTCCTTTTCTACGTTGCTTTTACTTGATGGAGAACTAAAACCTCTTAACCTTAATGGCTAAGATTAGAATTGTGGACCACTTTGTTAAAAAAAAAAATATTCCAATTCAACAATATTATGCTCTCCACCGAATTTTTTTATACTACTGAATATAATATCTAAGGCACAAAAGTCTTCTGCATTTTCGAAATGCTTCCGTATGTTATTTTTTCATTTGAAATTATATTTAAAATGTCATTTTTCTGTATTATTTCTGCATTTTCAACGTATTTATATTTTTCATTTCCACGTGATGTAGATTATTATTATAGAATGCGAATGTAAAAATATGAAAAATAAATAAATAAATAAATATCTAAATATATTTATAATAAGTGGAAAGTGCCCTTTCTTCATTAAAATTTCCTTACTTTTCCTCTATTCAGCACACAATTGAGAGGAGGATTCGAACCTAACTATATTATTAGACCATATATGTATTTACCACTAGATTATGTCTTGATGTGCATATTCTACTTATATTATTTATATTGATTTGAAGTTTTTAATAAAATCTTAATATAATATATTATATATGTTTATAATAAAAACATAAATTGGACTACTACCAACAGTGGTAAGACTCCTCCTAATTAAGCAAAATTTATATTCTTCTATACTGTATATAAAAGTGGGTATAAGAGGGAATAATATATTTGTGTGTATGTACATATATTTTTTTCTCTGATATATTGGGTAAATAATATTGTTACCGTAGCCAAAGTAATTTCTATTATTAATTTAAATCATCCTCTTATTTTTTTCTTTTACCTAGCAGTAAAAAATAATTTATTATTATTTTTCATTATATTTGCATATAGATATTAATTTGGAGTTAAGGACAGAGAGTAGAGATTAAGTGGTGAAATTGATTTTCTTTTTGGACATCTATTAAGATTTTAAAAAATTTGCATTTATAAATTAGAGACTAAAGGATTAAGTCTACGGATTTGGTTGAACTTTATTCTGAGACTATTTGATTATATAAAAATAGAATTAAATACATAAAAAGTAGCATTGCAAGTTGTCTGTACAACAAAGTGTAATACAAATTAATCACATTTATTTATTTTAATTTAAATAAAACTTATGTTTTAATATTATATAGATAAACAATGAGTATAAAACGAACATAGTCAACGTGCAAAGACGAGTTTGTAATAAAAGTCCAGATACAAGTGGTTTAGAGAAAAAAAAAAAAAAAAAAAAAAAAAGTTTAGAGAAAAAAAAAAAAAAAAAAAAAAGACAATGTACACTTTATATTAAGAAACTGAAACTTATTTCTAAAAGCCCAAAAATCAACAGTTCCATTTAACAGCAGTTGCTCAACAGGATATTTTATTTGCCGAGTTATGACATTCATGATTCAATATACTTATACAGAAAAAACTAAATTACAGCAATTAACATTAAAAATTCAAACACCTTGCCGATGTTTTATTGTTTTAGAACTAGCCTCACAATAACAAAAAGCTCAAATAAACAATATTCAAAACCAAACATTTAAATAATCCACAGCAAATAATGTATTAAAACCGTTCTTTCAATCAACTATAACCACTGCACAATCTTTCCTAATCTCGCGGTCGATCCAGTTTTAACCATTGATTCGTCCATTTCTCCATTAGAAGTAGCAAATTCAGCGTAGAGTTTTGAGGGGAACCGCTAAGCAACTGATTATTGTATAGCCAAAGTAGCAGAAATTTGTTAGTCAAGCAGACTCAGATTGGAGAAAAGGCCTCTTCCTTTGCAGAAAGATTGAATAGTAGCCTAAGGTCGATGTTTTCTACTTCAGGCGTCCATTCAACAATGGTGATTGTGTCATTAGAGTTGTGCATTTTCTTGATTTTTAGATTTGCTGGCATCGATTCGCTTTGTCGAGAAGCCGTTTGATCGCCTCACTCCGGTGAAATTGATTACAGCGCATTTGAAAATTGATGGGCAATGAGCCTTTAACTCCAGATTGTATGTGCACCTAAACAGTATATTTTAGGAGTTAAAGCGCGAGAGCTACTCTTTTGTGCCGCATATTTACAACATGAAGAAACATAAACACTTTACCGCACAACAGTTTTCACTATGCAAATTTTTTATAGAATAATTCACCTAAGGCGGTTATAAATGTTTATGGACAATAATATTTCATTATTATAGCTTAATTTTGACAAAGCTATCAACCCTCATGTCACGCCTGCACAGGAAACTCCCATAAGCTGGTTTGACAACATGCGATAAAAAACTGCCTGTCTTGTTCTCGTGTGCTCTCTTAAAAAAGAAATAACATTTGAAAAAACAAAGGAAGATTTGTGTTTCTATATTCTCGTGAGTTTAAATATTACAGATAGCAAGCACCAAGTCTTTTAGGTCTAGTCCCACATTAGCAAA